GTTTTCCCGCTCGAATTCAGAATTCCCACGAGGGTATTTAAGCATTCATTGTAATTGTTTCAGGGCTCTTCTATGTTATGTTCACGAATAAACAACTTGTGTTCTACTCTTGAAAGTACTTGTCTTGTCTGATTGCTGGACTGCTGGTATTATAAAGAATATTACGTCCAAAAATACGACTTCCCACAAACATCATTAACATAATTACCCGTTGCAAAATCGACTGAAAGTCCACGTTCTTTGTTTTAGTTCTTTTGATCCATGTGCCATGGTACCGACGAGACGAAAACCAATCCGACTCAGGTCTTTGAAAATGTCAAGATGATTGACTGCCATTTCGTCGGTGTTTTGGGACAGATAATCAGAAGAGCATGTAAATCCACTTGATTGCCAATCAATGATGTTAAACACATGCTGTTCTTGCTCATAAATATGGCGGATAGAAGGTAGAGATTTCAAGATATCGTCGCATGCATAAATAGTTAGAGACGGGCTGCTCTCATGCTGTAACTCAACCTCAATAAATTCTTCAACCAATGACGAATTTTCATCAGAATGCTTTACCATCATTTCAGCCAAGCATTCTGTGAGCTCGGCAACCTGATAAAAATCAACTTCCACGGAGAGAGCGGTAAATTCTTTAAAATCTTCTGGCAGAATAATCGATCCATTGCGTAGAAATTCCAGGATGTATTTGAACATATCGCCATTACGATCGATAAAATAGTTTCCTTGAGCGTCTTTTAGACTCGGCATTCGACCGCTGAACATCGCACCAAGCATCGTGTCCGGATATCTCGTCAGAGTCGATCTGGTCGTGCTGTACAACTTTCCACCAACGTTTAGATTGACTATTTCGTCGTCTGGTACCGATAAACGCATTTGGTTCGTATACATCATTGCTCTGAGAAGTGTGTCAACGTGAGCAAGACAACCGACAAGAGCGAGACAGTCAGTAGAGCTTGGAAATCTTAGTGCAGAAATTGATACATTCAACTTCGAATACTTCCGGGTGAAGCGCCCTCTATGGCAAACATAACCAGCTGAAAGGTCGTTCGAGGTGTGTGGCTGTGGGAATTCGGTTCGAATAAATCGCCACGTTTA